GGCCTCATCAGCATTGCTGGGGAGCTGTCTGAAAGAGCAGGGGTGTCTTGGCCAGCTCCAAAAACAAAAGGCTTCAAACCCCAGCCTGCATTCACTGTTCACTCATTCGTCTATGGAGTGCCCTTGAAACACAGCTTAATCTCTGGCTAACTGGCTCGTTAAATAAAAGTCAAGTTTTTACTCTGACTTTATTTTACAAAGGTTTTTTTTAGGGGTGCAGGAAAGGACAATATGATCTGCGAGCTGTGTTAATGGTATTCACAAAAAGTTCTGACAGACAGCTCTGTGACAGCAAAGCATCTCTGTTCCTGTGAGGTTGGTCAGTATACCAGGGGGAGATCCATCAATGACTTCAAGTTGTATCGGATCAGTATTATGGCAGCATCGCTCCTCTTTTATAAAATAACATTGGTAATAAAACAGTAAAACAAGCCTGTGCTCCCGAACAGATACTGTACCTGTGTTATAGCGTTTGCTCAGGCTGTTGCTGTTGCTGTAGCTGTAGCACCTGTCGAGCCTGAAGGCACCTGTCAAAACATTGATTGAAAGCTACTCATCCCTATCTGAAAGGCACAGGGTGCAAGATGAGGCTACGCTATGGGTGGGACAGCAGTTCAGCACAAGGCAAACGCACAGGGAAAACACACCATGCAAACTCCGTACACAAGGTGCCCCACGTCAGCAGCAAACCCCTGGCCCAAGAGTTAGGAGCTCTGACTGCTGTGTCACCCTGATGCACTCTGTATCGTCCCATATTTGCGTGCTTCTTTACAAATGCACAAATCCATCCAGGGAAATCATTTATTTTCATCAAATTATTTAAAGAAAAAAATATTGCCCCTCAGGACATTTCACGTGCTCAAATTCTCGAGGCCTGGCTAAGTCCCTAATTCAATTTTCAAGTCCATGTTTTCTACCGGTAAGGTTCCTTTGGAGCCTTCCTCTAACAAACCCCAGACAGAAGGGCGAGCAGACAAACGCGTCCGATGCGAGATGTCTGACCTGACGCGTCCTGTTCAGGCCCATCTGCAGCAAGGCTGGACTGTACAGTGAACTAAGGGATGGTTCACTCACTCAGTTCACAATCACAGACCTCTGTATAAACTGATAATGATTTCTTGTGGACTAGGCGCACCTACAGACAACGACCCCCTGTGTGCTGCTGTGCATTATTAGCTGGTGAGTGATGTACTGTAACGCTCCTGAGTGAAAGCCACCAGTGTCACTGCTCACTCACTGTTAAACGTGACGCACAAACGTGACGCTCCTGGTGCAGGAGTGGACCGCCAGACTGCTTATTTTCAAGCGGCATCCCTTCCTTACCAATGAGCTGCATTACAGCATCAGCTCCGACAGGCATACAGTATGTACCATGTATCACCATGTGGCGAAGGGCTTTGCTTTGCGGTGCACTGATCTGTGGGGGCAGTGCTGGACTCAGTGGCAGTCACTGTGGCTTGCCTGTAGTTCACAGTCCACTACAAGAGAGGGCTTGTCTGTACCGGTATCTTTGCAGGCTGCAGGATCCTGGTGCTTCCAGTCTGCTGGCAGAGTGGCATTGCTCTCGGCTCCAAACAGCCCCAACCTCTCCCTCTCCAAGTTCTTCATGTCGGAGAAAAGCTGATTATTGGTGTTCTGTGGAGGAGGTGGGGGGAGAGGGACAAAATCACACAGCATCAGCTTAACCGAACTGCAGTCCTGCACAGAGCCTGCCAGCCACACACACACACACAATACACACGCACAGCCCCACACAATGCCAGACCACATCCCACCCTCCTCTCCTCCACAGGGAACAAAGCTGGTTCCCACCGGCAGCCTCCTCCCCGGGCTCTTTAACGATTCCAGACATGCCCACGGCAATCGGGAACAGAGCACAGCAGGAAAAGCAGAGCGAATGCCCAAACAACCACACAGCCAGTTTCTTACTCCTTCACGCACGGCAGGGCAGCCAGTTAAACTCTGGTTCATCACACACAATGCTTTTCTTGCTAAACAATGTCCGTGATGAGAGGAACAGACACTGGTAATGAAAGTCTACCAGCAGGTCTTTTGTGTTTTGAGCGAGGCGTCAGGATACAGCCTGTCTCTCCTGGTGCACGGCTGGACCACCAGACTGCTTATTTTTCAAGCGGCATCCCTCCTCACCAAGGAGCTGCATTACAGCATCAGCTCTGACAGGCGTAATTACCATGTATTACCATCTTGCGGAGGGCTTTGCTTTAAAAGACTGAAAAGTTGTGCTTTCAAAAGAACCCAGAGAAACAATGAAATGAGGAAGCAGAGGTGGTTCCTGTGTTTCTGCATATGATATGACAAGCTATTATTTTTCCTTCCTTTTGACAACTTTTTTGTGCTACAGATAGATGCTACAGTGTACCCCCGGATCTCTTGTGTTTTTCACAATTAGTGCATATTTAGTGTACTGGCAGGCAGCATGGTGGTGCATTCCTGTCTGCCAGGGCTGGGGCCGTGGGGTGCTGTCTGCGTGGAGTCTGCATGTTGTCCCTGGGTTTATATGGCTCTCCTCCCATGGTAGGTGGGAGGTTAGCTGCAGGTAGGTTAATTGGCTTCTGGGTAAATTGACCCTGGTGCGAGTGTGTGCCCTGTGATGGACTGGCATCCCGCCCAGGGTGTACCCCACCTTGCTCCCGCTGCTTGCTGGGATAGACTCCAGCTCCCCTGTGACCCTGAACTGGAAGAAGCAGCTAGAAAATGCAAGGATGGATAGAATACCGAGTCTTCTGCTTGCTATAGCCTCTGGGGTAATTACTCTCAGTTACTGGTTTGGAGCTATATTCATGAGTCAAAGCCCTGGTTGTGTATGTTTTGTTAAATATTCAGTTCCAAAGGAAAGATTTGATCCCCATGGAACTCACTGCTGATGTCTGCTTCCCTGGTGAATCCATTGCAGGAATTTTAAACAAGCGAGATTTCACAGCAATCAATACCCAAAGCTTAGGTGAGGATTTCTCTCCCAGGCTTTGAAGAACTGTGCTCTATAAAGGAAAAATCTCCTCTGATTTCCTTCCTCTTTTAAATTCAGTCCCACACGCTTGTGCAAATACGAGAACAGAAGGCATCAGCACTACTAATGCAGACAGAGGCAAATACAGGCTCTGCGTGTGGAAAGACTTTTCATCTCCAGCAAGTCAAGCCCAGGTCTGCAAAAACTGCTGAAGGGCAAAGAACTGTGGCAGAGCTGCTAGAGCTTTTGCAGCTCTGGGGCAGAAAGTAAGCTTCAAAGCCATCGTGGTTAGAGCTACACAGCACATTACAGGAGAAAGCAATTATGCCAGTCGCCACAAACCTCTCAGACTAGAAAAGGTAGCTATCACAACTGCTCTGGCCCAGCAGCTGGTGCTGTGCACCAGAAGCAGAAGGCACAGAGAAATGAAGGGGTGCCAGAAGACAGGCATTATACAATCCAGACAGCGTGAGAGAGGACAGTTTTTCAAAGAAAAACTGTCACACGTAAGCTGAGCAGTTCATCGCCTACCTGCCGAGATCCGCTTTACAGCACAACATTATTCTAATTAATAAAATGCATGCAAATCCGAATTTTCAAACTATTTTGGATTCTTTGTTTTTGAGCAACTACTCATGTTTCAATACCAGATTTGCTCATGAACATTCTTGATCAGAAGAGAGACTCCCTGACCCAGTGAGAAATGGCATCTGCCATCTGCTCAGCCTCTCCAGGCTTGTGTCTGAATAGCTGGGTATTCAATGGCCTGGCAGCGGAGTGGCTGGTTTTCCAAACACGATTCCAAAGTGCAGCAGAATCGCGACGCCAGCAGGCAATGGTAGACGGTTCCACAGTACCAACTTGGCGAGGTTTCAGTGCCGACCTTACAGACCCATTTCCTTCAGTTAAAGCGCCTGACCTGAAACACCAGGCAAGTCAAGGCAATAATGAGCTAATCTAGGTCTTCAGGTGAACATCCTGTCTCCCAGTGCCCTGGATTGACTGGCACAGCTTGTACCCGTATCAGCTGGCATGGCCTGGCAAGGGCTGTACCCACCTTGATGGAGCTGCCCGTCCTGTCCTGGTTGTTGGGGGGGTGGGGCGGGGGCGGTCGGCTCTGGGACAGGGTGTGGTAGCTGGGGTTGGAGTAGTAATGGTAGTAGCTGTGAGGGACATCTGAGGAGAGAAAGAAGTCGTGGTCCAGCAGTTAGGGGCACAGACCTAGCTACCAAGGGGTTCCTGGTTCAAGAGCCCATCACACACGCGCACAGCGTTACCTCAAAAGCCACTCTGGATGAATGTGTCTTTTAGAAACAAGGCAATTCAGAAAAAAAATAAACAGAATATCTAAGAATGATGATGACAAAGTGAGGTTTCATGAACCAGCGATCAAAAAAGTAACCCAGGGCAAAGTGCAAATAAAAGGATGTATATGTAGGGGGTGAAAATATGAAATGCTTTACACAAAGGGTGGCAGGTGTCTGGAGCACATTACTCTGCCTTGCTGTTGAAGTGGATTCTGTACAAGACCCGGACGGGCCTGTGGGCCTGCCGTTCCCGGAGACGTTGGCGGCGCACCTGGCACGGCGTACTCGGAGTTGACCACGCGGGTGGTGGAGTAGGAGACGACGGGCGCGCGGCTCTGCTTGTCCCTGCGCCGGCAGCGGCACAGCAGCAGCAGCGCCAGCAGCAGGACCACCAGGGCCACCAGGACGACGATGCCCACGATGGCGCCCCACGAGTCCCTCTCCATCGGGGACACGGGCACCATGGAGCTGCTGCCCCCCTTCCCTGGGGCAGGAGAGGAGACACCAACAACGGAGATGTCAAAACAGCCTAGCCTACTCACACCTTACATCACAGCCTGCTGCAGCCATGGCTGCTGGTGCTGCTGTCCCGGCCATTGTGTGTCTCTGTGTTGGCCCACCAGGTAGATACACCTGTTCTGACCAGACTATCCTATTCTCCTCCCCACATGTCCAGATGGCACCCTGGCTGGGGACCATCTGAGTTGGATGCTGCATCACTGCCATGGATCCAAGAGGGACATCGTGGATTTAGCTATCGTTTAGGAGGATTTTACTGATCTACAGCGATCTGCATGGATGGATTAATACCCTCATTCATTTCCATCCTTTTTTTTTTATTGTATAATGCTAGCATGCCCAAAGGGGTTGGACAGCCAGTTGACCTTGGACCCCTAGAGGTTTTTTTTCTCCTTACTAAGGAGTTTTTGGTTCCTGTCCCCTGTTGTCTTCTGGTCTTTTCTGTTCTGTATTCACAACATGTAGGGTTACTTGCATTGTTAAGCGCCTTGGGGCAACCTTGTTGTGAAAGACACTATATAAAAATAAATTGAATTGAACTGAAAACGGGGCGTCCAGTCCCACCAGCGTCCGAGCCAGGAGAGGGTGAAACTGTGGACAGGTCAAGGTTAAGGCAGTAATGAGCTAATCTAGGTTCACACTGACTCAGGGGCACGGTGCTGGTGCTGTTGTCCACCAGGGGGCACACACCGATTTCCCAGGGAGGATCTAAACTCTGGGGCTTGATCAGGCCAGGTAACTCAAACACCTTGGAAGAATATGTGTCCCCCCCTTACTCAAGAGGGAAAAGACCTGGACAGGCGATGCAATCCAGGAAAACCGTTCGGATCCGATTTTTTGACTCTCACCTGACCCGCAGTCTCCTTGCTCGCATGGGCAGTCTCCGCTCAGGGGGTTGCAGGTGGCGTTGAGGGGACAGGCGCAGGTCTGGGCGCAGTGCAGGCCGAAGGTCCCGGGATGACACTCTGTCACGGGGAGGGAGACACACACGCACGCTGGCGTCAGGCGCTCTGCCGTGATGGACTGGGCGTTCGCACGTGTGCCAGCCAGACTGCCCGGGCTAGTGGCTAATGCCATCGATCTTTTAAGCTTTCTATTCTTTATATTAGATGGGCTGAGTGCGTGCTCCCTGCCAGTGCATACACATGCATCCATAAACGTTCTGCACTATTTCATGAAGGAGGATGGGCAACTCAAGTCACTGAAAATCAGCACTGAGAACTACAGTAATTGATTCCAATATATCATTTTAATATCAGAAACCGAGTCATCCTCGGCAGATCCAAGGCCCATCGCCTGTCTCGAATACATGTGATATACTGTATGGTGGCCCACAAGGCCTCCCTCTGAGATATGGGATAAACAGTGTACACATCTATATAATATGAGCAGTGGCTCAGTATCTTCTTATAGCCTGAGGTGTGTTTCCTGTTGGTATTGACTGGGAACTCTAGAGGCTGTACGAATTGCCATATTAACCAGGTCTGCTGTAGCCTTCTGCAATGTGCCAGACACACAATGCACCAGCAACCTTGCCTTTCAATCACCTGTACCACAGCAGAACAGATTGAGGAAAAGGCCTGGTCTGCTACTACTTTACAGTCCCCGGGAGTCAAGGGACATACCGTCTGCTGCACAATTCCCAGTACTTTGGAAAAGAACGGATTACCATGACTGCGGATACAATTTCTTTGGGGTAGAGAAACATATTTCACAACATACTACTTGTACAATAAGACCCAAAAGTACAGAATGGCAGGAGCCAGAGGGCAATGTATTTCATTCTCGTCTGCTATAGCCACTGGGTTTAAGTCCCTGAGGCCACACCAGTCTCTGCTAACACACTGTACAGACCGATGAAGTTTTCTAACTGTGATGGCAACACATCAGCAACTCAGTAATACAAACAAAAGGAAATATGTCTTAAGTTGACATATTCCAGAAGGTGGCCCAGCTGCAAGGCCCACTGCCTATACAATCAGCAACAGCTACAATAATACTGTTTCCACTTTCATGTGCTGATAACGCAAACGGCACCTACAAGACATCAAGAGATTGAAATTTCTGAGAACCCATTAGCCAGCCAGCAGCTCACTGACAGTGGCTCCCCCCAGTTCAGCTGATGAATGAAAGGCTGGAGGTTAGGAGCTTTTGTTTCCGATGATAATTATAACTAATTTGCATTCACATTTATGTGAAATGATCCAGAGCATGAAAATGATGTGATTTTTAACATATATATAAACAAAAATGAAATATACATTCATGATACTTTATCACTAAAATAAACCATGAGAATATGCTACTATTCCAAAAATAAAATAAAGATCAATAAAAAATACTTGTTATTTTACAAGGACAATGCAAAGGCACGTTTGCTGGAGAACACTATCAGGCGACTGCGGAGGCGAGTTGTGTGATATCCCCTCAGATGTGGAGCACACACCAGACGCAGATTCGCACATGCAGGAGGATGCCACGAGCGTTCATTAAAGTAGGCTTGAGCAAAAGCAGAAATGATCCTTCTTCAAGAATCATATTGTATCACAAACCTGTGAACAGGAGAGAGTGGTGGATCTGGAGCGAGCGTGGATGGGTCTGATAAATGCAGTCCACTACCTTGCCTGCTTATCTTCAGTGCACATCACACCCATTCCTGG